TCGGTCTCCGTACCGCTCTTAAATGCGTTCACATGGGGCGGTTCAAATTCAAGCAGCTGTTTCCCCCCATTTTGCTCCCTATAAATAGGGATTCCCAGATTTCCTCAGACTCTGTTTGCCATTTTCCTTTCTTCACGTATTTTTTCTACTCCCAAAAGTTCTCGCGGCAAGACTTTCGGCCATCAGTACCCAGATTCCGGCGGTTCCTCCATCTCTTTCCATTCCGATCATCAGTAAGTTCTTTTTCCCCTTCCTTCGCATTTTCTTTTCCTCCTTTGCCACCTTCTGCATTTTATGTCGGATCGTTCCGGCGTTACCTCCACCGCATCCCAAATTTCGGCCAATCGTAGAGCCCACAGAATCCTCATTTCCTCCTTGTTTTCGTCATCATCTTTATCTTCATCTTCTCCTCCTCCTCTCTCTTCTTCCTCTGCCTCTAATTCTAACTTCCTCATTCCTGACCTGTTCGAGCCCATTGACATCATGAGCACTCCATCTGCCCATTCTCCTTCCGCCCGCATCTTAGAGGAGGCGGCCGAGTTTGATGCTTTCATCGATCAGCAGGCCACCTCCATTCCTTCCCCCAAGTCCCCATATGGCTCCCCTGGCGGAGCCCAGGGTGGGGTAGGTGAGGATAGGGATTCCTCAGAGGGGACCCCTGCTGCTGAGCAGGGGGATGATCCCGAAATTAACTACTGTCAACCTGACCAGCAAGAGGTCACCCTCTCACTCGGGGTAGTGACCGAACTGGTTAGGTCCTTTTCCATTCCACCGGCCTTTGAGCCGAGGGTTGCCGAGCCCGACGACCGAGTTAGCCGACCTCCCCCTGGCTTCGTAGCCATCTATAGGGGAGCAGCTGGTCGCGGGACTCCGACTCCCCATCCCTTCGGTCTTAGCCGAGATTCTGAGATACTGGGGGTTCAGAATCACCCAAATCCATCCCAATTCGATCAGGATCATCACTGCGTTCCTGATCTATTGTCAAATCTGCTCCATCCCCTATTCTCTCTCTCTTTTCCGAGCCTCTTACACCCTCAAGCTCTCTCTTCCTGGGTGGTACTATTTCTCCCGCCGAACTGTTGGTAAAGTTCGGGGTGGGAAGGGCACCCAAGACCTGTTCTATGGGATTCCCTCTTCCGTGAAGAACTGGAATGGGGACTTCTTCTTTGTTAAATCCACACATTTTCCTCCTGATGTGTGGAAGGTCGGGGAGGTCGAATCCGACCCCTACCCGGAGGACCTGGACCCCGAAACCCTTAGCCAGCTGGTGAGCTCCAAGGTGAAACTCTATGCGGGCAAGTTCTCCACCGAGCAAATATCTGCGGCCAGGCTGTTGGGGACTTTGTCCGGGTCCCCCGAAGGAGTGGAGCCCTCCCCCACCGACTACGACATTTGTAATGCCACCTCTGTACTCCTGCAACTCGTTGCTTCCTTCTTTCTTTCACTGACCCTCTTTTACTAAATTGGTGGTGTTTTGCTGCAGTGAAAAAACTCTCCAGGCTACTGGGCGCGCCACCCGAGCAGGTCGCTCCCGCCACGCAGCCGGAGGCGGCGAAAAAGGCCTCCGAGGCCTCTCCGACTCCTGGGGGCAATTCGGTCCCCCAGAAGGAGGAATTGCCCCCCAGAAGGAGGCCTCCCAATCTCAGTCCCCTTCCAAACAGGTCGCCAGCAAAAAGAATGCAACATGGCAGAAGAGGGGCCGAGAGGACGAGCCTTCCCAACCCGAGAAGAAGCTTACGCCAGCTCCAGCACAGCGCCCTCTCCTGTTGACGTCGGGAGGCCCTGTCCACCTGGGGGTTGGCTCCGCGGAGGAGCACGCCCGGGAGAGAGCCTCCCCGAGCTTGTGGCACTTCCGCCACGTGGCCCCCGTGAAGTCGGGACAGGCCCCCACCATGCACGACCCCCGTCACTTCTGCCCGTCCTGGGAGCTCTCCATCAATGTCCGAGCCCAGTTCCCCGAAGTGGCTCGCGAGTTGGTTGCGGGCTCAGTCCTTCCACGCGACAGAAGGTGGATGGAGCTGGCCAACCCGTCCGAACTCCAGGACAAGTACTATACCGTCCAGGCCCAAGTAAGCCCTCTTCCGCTTGGGCCCCTTGGGTCCCTGTTTTTTCCCTTGATGGAGTGCTAATTTTTACTTTCCTTTCCTCAGGCCAATGCCGCCGGTGCTGCCCTGGTGACCCGCTTCACCGAACTGTCTCCCGATCTGGAGAAGTTGTATAAGAGGAATCGGGAGACCGAGCAGAAGTTTGCCCAAGCCCTTAAGGGGCCGGACTCCCTTAAGGCCAAGTTGGGCAAAGTCGAGAAGATGTTGGAGGGGGTCCAAGTCCAGCTCGCCGCCACCCTGTCCGAGCTGGACCAGGAGAAAAAGGGCGTGGCGAAACTGAGGGAGGACCACGCCATTGAACTCTCCGGCACCGTCAGCCGGGAGCGCAAGAAGGCTGTTCGGGAGTTCATCTCTTCCGAACAGTTTGCCGAGGACGTGGCCCTCCTCAACCAGCCAATCCTCCAGATCGGCTTCACGCGGGCCCTGGACCAGGTGAAGGGCCTCAAACTGCCTGGCTTCGACTTGGCGCCGAGGAGAAGTTAGACTGGCTCTTCGATGGGTACTGCAAGGGGCATGCCCTGAAGGACCTGGTGGGCAGGAGTGATGTGGGGGCCGAGCTAGCGGAGGTCCCCCTGGGGGAGGATGAGACTCCTGGCAGGGCTTCCGGGAAGGAGCCAGTGGCTTAGAGCAGTGGCCATTTCAGAAACCCTTTCCATCCTCTTATAAGGATGTGGCCATGCCCTGCAGTTCATGATCTCCATAGATATCTTTTTGAGTAGCTTTCACCATACGCCTCTCAACATGCTTAACGTGTACCATCAGCTCCCGCCTCAAGCAGGTCGCCAGTAAGAAGAAGCCATTGCTAGATTTTCCTTTCCTTGTATAGCTCGGTAGGCTTTGTAATAGATAGGGTCTGAATGCATATGTGAAATGAAGTTTGAATGAAACTATCTGATTTGACCTTCAATTCCTTGTTAGCGGCGAATTCTAGTAACCGAAAAGGAACACCGACCTCTCGGGTCGAGCACCAAATAGATCCGCCAAGGCAGCGTGCCGGCCTCTTGGGCCGAGCATCCATCACACTTTAAGCCAACAACTAAGTTGCCAGGGACGCCAAACCATCAAACTATCAGGCTGATTTAGCAATCGAATTCTAATAATCGGAACAACGCGCCGACCTCCTGGGCCGAACACCAAATCTCTGGGTTTTAAGTTACGCCGACCTCCTAGGTCGAACGTCAAATCTGTTTTACTGAAGCAGCGTGCCGGCCTCTTGGGTCGAGCATCCGTCAAACTATAAGCCAACAACCAATTTGCAAAAGGACGATAAACTAGGGTCCCATAAGATGATCAAACTAAATTAACAACCCAATTTCGACAACCTGTGCGACGTGCCGACCTCCTGGGTCGAGCATCGGACCCTAAGGTTCTTTTAAGTTGCGCCGACCTCTTGGGTCGAGCGGCAAAATTTTAGAGACAGTCCTGCCGACCTCCTGGGCCGAGCATCGAACTCTCAGACTTTTAAAGCTTTAAGCCCTGCCGACCTCCTGGGTCGAATATCAATTCTCAAACTTCAAAGGCATTCCATTGATTCATTATCTTAATTCGTCCCTTAGCCGCCGACCTCCTGGGTCGAGCGTCAAAATTTTAAAGATAATCATGCCGACCTCCTGGGTCGAGCGTCGATTTCTCAGACTTGAAAGGCATTCCATCCGTTACCATTTGAAAGGCATTCCATCCGTTACCATTCATCACCCCTCAGGACCCCCCACTAGGACACTTAGCATTATTTGAGTGTGCTAGTATAGAAGTGAAAAGTTAAACGGCATTGATAATGAGAATGGATTTAAAACTTGAAAGCCGAACATTTATTTAATGATGAACTCGTATAAGGATTTCAAAGAATACAGTAAGATACCCTGGACCAATCTATCCTACGAACAACAGCAAATTCGAGAAGTGCCAAGTGCGGGGTACCTCTACTCCGTCTAATTTCGCAAGCTTACAGTACCCAGCCTGACTTGTCTCAAAGACCTTGTACGGCCCCTCCCAGTTCGGATCAAACTTGTTGGAGTTATGAGCTCGGCTAACTGAGTTCTTTCTTAGGACAAGGTCTCCGGGCTGGTACTGCGTATTACTCACCCTCGAGTTATGATAGCGAGCGAGTTGACTTTTATACTTAGCCATCCGTATCGCCGCTTCCTCACGCTTGGCCTCCAGCATGTCCAAGTTGCATCTCAGTTCTTCTTCGTTGGCTGACACGACGAAATTCTGTGTCCGAGGCGAGGGGAGGCCGATCTCCGCGGGCACCACCGCCTCCGCCCCATAAGTCAGGGAAAATGGGGTCTCATGAGTGGCTGTCCTCGGCGTAGTGCGGTAAACCCAGAGGACGCTAGGGAGTTCATCTAACCAGTTAGACTGGGCTAGTTCCAACCTAGTCTTCAACCCTTGCAGAATGGTTCGATTAACATTCTCTACCTGACCGTTGGCCTGGGGATGTCCGACCGAGATGAAGTGTTGGCTAATCCAGCTCCTAAAGGGATTTTCAGCAAACTGTCGCCCGTTGTCGGATATCAAGACATGCGGGATACCGAAGCGGCAGACTATGTTCTTCCAGAAGAACTTCTGAATTGTCCTTCCGGAGATAGTGGCCAGGGGTTCGGCCTCCATTCACTTTGTGAAATAGTCGATGGCCACCATGAGGTGTTCGTACCTTCTAGGAGTTCGGGAGAAGGGACCTAGGAGGTCTATCCCCCACTGGGCAAAGGGCCAAGGACTGTGGATGGGGACCATCTCACGAGTGGGTTGGTGGTGCAGCGGGGCGTGCACCTGGCAAGTTCGGCATCTCTGAACAAGAGTTGCGGCATCTCGAAACACCAAGAGCCAGTAGTAGCCTAGGAGCAGCCATTTTTTGGCCAACACTCGGGACCCCACATGTGCCACGCACAGGCCTTCTTAAACTTCTCGGAAGACATAGTCGCCCTCCTCAGGAGTTATGTACTTTAGCCAAGGAAACAGATACGACCTCCTGTAGAGGGTCCCCCCGGCGTAGGCGTACTTAGCAGTTCTGAGCTGGAGTCGGCGAGTCTCAGTTTTGTTCACTGGGAGGGCACCTGAGGTGAGGAAGTCCACGAGGAGAGTCATCCAAGTGGCTGAGCTGTCTATAGCCAAGACCTGAATCTGGCCAATGCTTTTTTGCTTAACTACCTCCACCAAGACTTCCTTGCTCAGGTGGGCAAACGAGGAGGACGCCAGTTTCGACACGGCGTCCGTCCGCTTGTTCTGTGACCTCGGCACCCGCTCAATCTAAAAAATGTCGAACAGTTTTATTGCCTCCCGCACCTTAGCCAAATATTCTTTCATGACATCCTTCTTGGCCTCGTACTCCCAGCGGACCTGGCAGATTACGAGCTGAGAGTCACTCCGGATCCTGATCGCGGTTATATCCATCTGGTGGGCTATCCGCAATCCTGTCAATAGGGCCTCGTACTCAGCCTAATTATTGGATGCCGGGAAGTCAAATCTGAATGCGTAGGTCAGCTCCTCCCCGGTGGGCGAGGTGAGCAGCAGGCCGGTTCTGCTCCCTTCCTTATTCGAGGCTCCGTCCCCAAATAGTACTCACTGCTCTTCCGGCCATGCCTCCTCGGGCAAAGAGCTCGACTCAGTCACTGACAAACTGGCTCCCTCGATGAGGAAGTCTGCCAGGGCCTGAGCTTTGATAGCGGTGCGAGACTGATAGCCGATGTCGTGCTCGGCCAGTTCGACGGTCCATTTGGTCATTCTGCCCGAGATCTCAGGTTTTGTGAGTATCTGTCGTAAGGGTTGATCCGTCAGGACAGTAATGCTGTTGGTCTGGAAATAAGGTCGGAGCTTCCGGGCGGCGTGCACCAAGGCGAGGACCAATTTTTCTGCCGGCGTGTACCGCGTCTCCGGCCCTTGTAAAGCACAGCTAACGTAGTATATTGGCCTTCGAGCCCCCCTGTTCTCCCGCACCAAAACTGCGCTAACGGTCTCGTTGCAAGCAGACAAGTATAGGAACAGGATTTCTCCCTGCTCCGAGGCTGTCAGAGCAGGCAGCTCAACCAGGTATGCTATTAGGTCGGTGAAGGCTTTCTGGCATTCCTCCGTCTATTGAAAGTCCTTTGGTGCTTTCAAAATTAGAAAGAATGGTAGCCCCCTTACTGCGGAGCGCGAGAGAAATCTATTTAGGGTGGCCATTCTTCCCGTGAGCCGTTGGACCTCTTTGACGCTCCTCGGGGGGGGCCATGTTCATGATGGCCTGGAACTTATCCGGGTTTGCCCGGATCCCCTCTTGGGAGACCAGGAAACCCAGTAACTTTCCTGACCTGACCCCGAAGGTACATTTCTTTGTGTTCAGCCGTATCCGACTTTCCCACAGGATGTTCAGGATTTCCCTCAGGTCGGGAACGAGCTGCCGGTCAGTTCGACTCTTGACGATCATGTCGTCCACATAGACCTCCATACTCCTGCCGATCTGACTCTGGAATAGTTTGTTGACCAGGCGCTAGTAGGTAGTTCCAGCGTTTTTCAATCCAAATGGCATTGTCCGGTAGCAGTACGTCCCTTCCTCGGTGATGAAGGAAGTCTTTTCCCTATCTTTCTCGGTCATCTCTATCTGGTGGTATCTCTTGAAGGCATCCAGGAAACACAAAATGTCAAAACCCACAGTAGAGTCTACTAACCTGTCGATCCTTGGCAAGGGGAAGCAGTCCTTTGGGCAGGCCTTGTTAAGATCTGTGAAGTCCACGCACATCCTCCAAGACTGGTCCTCCTTCTTCACCAGGACGGGATTGGCTAACCAGGTCGGGTAATATACCTCCAAGATGATTCTGGATTCCAGCACCTTGCCGACCTCCTTCTTGATCACGTCATTCCTTTCGGGGGCGAAACTCCTCTTCTTCTGCTTCACTGACTTGAAGCGGGGATCTACGTTGCGGTGGTGGACGGCCAGATTAGTCGGAATTCCGGGCATGTTCTCTTCCGTCCACGCGAAGAACTGGGCGTACTCCCTTAGTAGGGCCTTCAGGCCCTCCTTCTCTTCGGGGGGTAGCGACGCACCAACGAGGAGGACCTGGTCGGATCGGTCCTCCCTCAAGGGGAACTCCTCGATCTCGTCCTGGGTGCCCAACTATCGGGTCTCCTCCCCCGGCATGTAAGGCTCCAAACTGGTCGTCTGGACGACCACCTTCTCATGTCTCCGGAGCACGGACAAGTAGCAAGTTCTGGCCACCTTTGGATCTCCATGCACCTCAGCTATTCCTCCCGGGGTGGGGAATTTGACGCTGAGGTGGAGAGACGAGGGGATAGCTTGGAAGGCATTCAAAACGGGCCGTCCCAAGAGCACGTTATATGGGGATTGTTGTTTGACCACCACGAAGTTGACGGGGATGGTCCGGCATTTGGGCGTCTGCCCTACCGTGACCATCAGGGTGATCATCACCTCCGGATTGATGGGCGATCCGGTGAATCCCACTAGGGGTGTCCGAACCGGGATTAGCTGTCCGTCCTCCAAGTCAAACTCCTTGAACACCCGGTAAAACAGGATGTCCACTGCGCTCCCCTGGTCGACGTACACTTTTTTCACCCGGTAGTTATTGGTCACGACGTCTATCACAATGGTCTCGTGGTTTCCAGACGCCAGGGGAACCGCATCTCTTGGTCCGAAGGTGATCTCCTCATCCATACGCAAGCATTTCAGGGAGTCATACCCCTCGGGGGGAGGCCGCCTGTTCTTCTGAACTGCATGGATGTCCCCCCGTGGGGCCCCCAACAATAGTGTTTATTACCCTTACTAAGTTCTGATTGTCCTGGTCGGGGGAGTTGCCCTGAGGGGCGTCTCGCCGCTCAAGGCGATCGCGACGCTGGCCTTCGCCCCTGTCTCCGCGGTAGGTGCGTCCTTACTTCTGGCCTGGTCGACTTTGCCGCACGAAACGCCCCAAGAAGCCGCGCTGGATCAAATTTTTGATCTCCTTTTGCAGGGCCCAGCACCCCTCCGTATCATGCCCGACATCACGGTGGAAGGTACAGTATCGGTCCTGATTTTGCTTGTTCTGAGGTGTCCCCATCTTAGGTGGCCGCTCCCCTAGGCCCTCCGCCTCCATAACGGCCAGAATCTGGGTTCTGGGCCGAATTAGGGGGTGTAGCCTTTTTCCGGAAGCGGCGGTTGAGCGGGGGCTTTTTCCCTTGAGAGCCGATGGAAAACATTCTTCTTGGCCGGGCCGTCCTTGTTCTCGGGAGGGTTTCCCCGTCCTCTCCGATTTTCGAACTCCCGATCTGACTCTCTCTTCAGGCGGGCAGCCTCCTCCGCATTAGCGGCGGCGTGCGCCCTGGTCAAGAGCTCCTCTAGGCCTCCAGGAGGCTTCTCGACGAGTTTGTAGTAGAGCTCCTCCGCCCTGAACCCGTTCATGAAGGCGGCCATGACCACCTTTTCGTCCTTGTCCCTGATCTGTAAGCTCTCCGTGTTGAAGCGGGTCATGAAATTCCTCAGGGACTCGTCCGGCTTCTGCTTGATTGCCATCAAGTGAGCCGCATTTTTTGAGTAAGTCTTCGAGAAGACGAATTGGGCGGTGAACTGCTTGGCCAGCTCGGGGAAACTCCGGATGGACCCCGGTACCAGACCCTAGAACCAGAGCCGGGCCTTCCCCTTCAGAAACATGGGGAAGGTTTTGCAGCATCCGCAGCGGTTTGCAGACGCATGTGCGTCAGGAAGACCGAGAGGTGGTCTTCCGGGTCGGTCGAGGCGTCGTACAACTCGATGTTCGGGATCTTGAACCTGCAGGGTAGTGGGTAGTCCTCTATCTCCCGGGTAAAAGGCGAGGTGGTGTAGTTGTTCTCGTACAACTGCGGCCGCAGGATCTGCTCAAACTTGTCCCGGACAGGCTTCCACTGGGGGGTCCCGCGGCCAGCTCTTGATAGATCGGGCGGGGAGCGCTCAGGCTCCTTTCGCGCAAGCTTCCACGATGAGGGATTCTTTGGTCGGCCCCCAGTGGACCGGTCGCGAGAGTACCTCTCGCTATCCCCGATCACCGAGGCCCGCGGCCGAGGGGGAGTCTGTGGCCGTTTCCTCCTGGGGGCTGGTCCCGTGACTCATCCTCCGAGGGAACGGGAGGTGATTACCTCTCCTTCCCCTTCGCCTTCGAGGTCTGTGCGCCTCTGGCTTCACCCCCCTCCTTTGCTTGCCGAATTATGTCCTTTAGCATGGGAAGGTTCTCCGTCACGAACTGAAAGATCTGCTGTCTCCGTTCCACTAAAAGGGCTGAGCCCCCGGCGCCCCGAGCCGCCTCGGTCTCCATTCGCCGGAAGTCTTCGCCGGTTTCGGGATCGGTGTTCTCTACGGTTCGTTTGGAACGTGTTCTCGCCATCAACACAACTACTCGTACATTCCCTCGTTCCCACAGACAGCGCCAACTGAAGAAGCACGGAGCTTCCCCTGACCGAGCTGACCTGATGAGCTCGGGGTGCTGACGAGAAGAGCGTGTCACAAGCCTGCAAAGCGAATAGGAGAGTGATCTAACAGGGGGGCCCTGAGGTCGTCCCCGAGGGCATTCCGACGATCAAGTTAATTTTCCGGTGAGTGAGATTCACGGGAAGTAAAACAGTTGGGTATAATTGGCGAATAGTGAGCGTACCTTATGCAATCGGTGTGCGTTATCATTTATACCTGTTTAGGAGTCCGACCTCCGTACGTTTCGGGACCTGCCAGAATAGTCTCAATCCCGCACTGAGGGGGATCCTCCCCGCCCTCTACGGGATCGTTTTCTGGAGCTCCTCGGAGCCCTAGCAGCGGAGGGCCGCGGGACGGTTCCCATGGACCCCGGGTCTAAACCCAACTCAGGCCTCCCTGAGCTGCCACGTGTATAGGCTCAGGACGGGGCATCTGCACCTTGAATCCGTGAACTTCCCAAATAACTTTTGAATGGAATCATAGATTTAAAATGATTAATCAAAACTAATTAATAACCCATGAACTGGAACTAATAGATCAATTATTTCCTTTGCAAATCCCCAAGGTGGGACATATGGAGGGAGGGGTCTCACATGTAATGGAAAGACTCCTTCCTCTTGCCTGGCCGAGTGCAGTCCTAGGTTTTTAATAACTTGTCTGATTGATTGATTTTGCTAAAAAAATTACAGTAATATCCTCCCTATCTTAAGCATTTTTTTCCCCCATAAATCCTGTCTTAGGATGGATCGTTTATTATTTCAAATAATCTCTACCCGTATGCCCTTTAATATAGGATCTGCTTAGGTGATGAGTTTTTTGAGTGTTTGTATAAGATTTTATTGTAACTTACGGTGGAATTTTTTAGAAAATTTTTTAAAGTTATGTAAAGCTTTCTTTGTTTCCTTTTTTCTTTCTTTTTCTTTTTCCTTTTCTTTCTCCTCCTCTTCTTCTCTTTCTCCCCCCACCCCACTACTGCTCTTCCTTCTCCCTCCCTCCCTATTGCTGGCCACTGTTGCTGGCACTTCCGTAGGCTAGCAGTGACGGTGCTAGCAGTCTCCTCTCTCTCTTTCTCTCTCTCTCTCCCCCCTCCCTAGGGATGACAATTGGAGTGGGTACCCGCGGGGGGCTAACGGGACGGGGGTTGGGGTGGGACAGGAGGGGGAATTTTTCCCCCTGTATAGAAACGGGTTGGGTCCACCGTCCCACCACCCGTTAAAAAATTAATAAATATATAAATACATATATCCATATATATAATTATATGTATAATATTTAACTTAATTAGTTACAAACTTATAATAATGATATTATTAGTTATATGTATTATATATTGTATATTAGTATATGTAATATAATTGATATTATCAATTATACTAATAATTATACATGTTTACTAATAGACATTATTAATTAGTTATAATAAATTTACTAATATATTTATACTAAATTCCTAATTACATTTGACACAATAACACTTTTTTCTCCAAAAAAAAAATACAATAATGATTTAGTAATTGTATTTGTATCAAAAGTGAAAACTTGACTACTTTAGTTGTATTTGTTCCGTCATGTTAGATTGTATTCAAATAACTTTTGTTTAATTATTTTTATGAGTTTCAATTGTAAAACTACAATGGACAATAATTTTGTGATGAATTGATATTTTAGTACTTGATTATTTATTAAAATTTGACTATAATAAAATTATATAACAAATTTTTATTAGACCCACGAAAGAAACAAGGCAGGGCGGGGGGAGCGCGGGGCAGGGATGAGAGCACAGGAGAGGGTTCCTCGCTCCAACCCCGCCCTGTTGTCATCCCTACTCCTTCCCTTGCCCCCATCTCCTCTCCTCTTCTCTCCCCATCTATTTCCCTCTTTGACTAACATCTAAATCGGTGTTAGCAGTAAAGACATTTTCGTCTATTTGATAAAATAGAAGTTACACATGCTTTATGGATTTTTTTTCCCCAAACAGCAACACTTTGATATATACCAAAACTGACTACGTACTATTG